TGCTCGGGTCTCCTGGCTCCTAACCAGCACCTTTTCCAAAGGAGTAGAGGACAGGGAAACCAATGGTCTGTGAGATGTCAAGGGTAGAAGGTTACTAGGCACTGGGAAGGGGAGCTTGGGATCAGGAAGGGGAACTAGAACAACAGCAGTTGTCAGGTGTGTACTGGTGGGGTGGGTGCGGTGACAGTTTGCGTGGTTCTTAGCTGAATGGGACCTCATGTTACAGGGTAGCCCAGAGTGAACTGGGGAGCCTGTTTGTGGGGCCTCACCCCCACGCTTACAATTCAGTTACACTGCAGGTACACACAAAAGGGTCAATAATGGGTTTATTTACAAAAGGGTAAAGGAACAGGAAACAGCCCAGGGAAAGAGAGTGGGATACAAAGTAACTGGAATACCTTACGGCTAGGCTGACTGAACACATGGAGTCACGCAGTCCAGAGAGCTGCTTCCCAAGCAAGAGAGCGAGGGAGCGCCAGAGAGCTGCAGTCACCCCTTATTTATCCCCCCAAAATGTCCCAGAATTTCTTCCTGCTAGCTCCGCCCTTGGGTCCTCGCAGTTCTCTCCCCGGTACTGCTGGGAGTTGTAGTTGCCAATCACTGGAGTACAGTGTAGGGTCCAGAAAGCTGGAGTAGAGTCCATGAGACTCTGCAGAGTTCCTTTAGGACATCCTTCCCCTTAAAACTCAGACCTTATCTTGTCTGCTTCTGAATTACAGGTGCAGCTGCAGGGCCTAGAGAGCAAAGTCAGTTGCTTGCTATTGCTGAGATAGACACTGGTAAATGCAAACCCAGCTGTCCTCACCCCCATGGCAGGGCTGCTGTAACCCCACACCTCTGTCCCTCCAGACCCCACAGTCCAGAAACGGCCTGAGCCAGGGTACCGGGTATAGGCATTTGGTGACTCTGTGTCTGAGCCCTGAAACTCAATGACAGTCATGCCTTTTCAGCAGGTACTTTGGTGCCTCACTCCTGGGGACCCACAAACTGAGCACCTGCTATTCACCAGGCAGCATGAGGGGTTGAAAGGCCGACTAGAACGTGACCTCAGTCCTCTAGAGGCTGGAGGTTTACAAAGGAGTGCTGGGCGCTGACATCACTAGCTCGTGCTAGGGTGGCCTGTGGCAGAGGTTGGGATAATGTGTGTGACATCCCTGGGGCTGGCTGAGAGCAGGTGCTCAGGAAATGTCATGACAGGAAGTAGCTATAAGTGGTAGCTCTTAACCCCGGGCCAGCCGGGCTACGGCTATGCGGTCTCGAGGTGCGGGCTGGGGATGATAATGAACCAGACACACACACACAGACACACACACATACACACAAACGCAATGCAGTCTCGAGGTGCGGGCTGGGGATGATAATGAAACACACACACACACACACACACACACACCTACCTCTGCCTCTGTACTTTTCCACCCCCCTTGTTTGTACAAGGTCTGAGCATTTAGTCCTGCCAACAAAAACATACTCCCTTTCCCATACAAGAGGCCCTTGTTCTCTAAAAGCCCACCATGTTTCTTTCTAGTCCTTCAGTAACCTCGACTCCACAGCTCTCCACAGTAGCAGCAGCTGTCACCTGTTTTAGACCTGGACACCAGGTCCAGTGATGCGTGGTGTGTGCGTGACAGTGGCTTATGTTTATGGAGCACTTACTGTGTGCCAGGTTCTGGTCTAAACACTCTGCCTGTATTATTTCATTAAATCTTTGCAATAACCCATGAGGTAGCTACTGTTACTATCTCTGTTTTACAGATGAACATTGAAGCATGGAAGGTTAAATGATTTGCTTATTGTTCTGTAATTGTTGCTGGTAGGTAGTGGATTTTACTTAGGTCATCACATCGTCCATACTGTGGTGGAGAGGAGCTTGCCCTCCAGCAGCCCTGTCTCCACCAGGCTTCTATCAGCAGGTCCCCACCACCTGTCCTATGTGGCTTGCACCTTGAGGAAGGGTGGAAGTGGAGGGTGACAGGGGCCATGGTGGTAAGGACCCTGCCTTGTCTTGGGTCTGAGGTGACACTGCTAATAATGGCAAGATTCATCGAGTACTGAGTGTGGCCAGGCATTGCTCTGGGTACTTAGTCAATTCATCCCATGCCCACACACAGAATGGCCTGAGGCCCATTCTGCCACCATCTCCCTCTGAACAGATGGGGACTGACAGAAATGGAAGTAACTTGCTGGAGGTGTAGAGTTCCTAAGTGGCATTGCTGGGTCCGGGTTTGCCATTCTGGGTTTAACTCCTCATCCACGACAGCTGATGGGTGGAAAGAGGGCCTCAACACAGTGCCCCATTTGGTGTTAAAGGAGACAGGGAAAAGGGGAGACCAGGGTCGCAGAATATAAACTCCACCCCTTCTTGGGGTGAGCTGGCATGGGGGTCTGGAGTCAGAAAGAACTAGGGGACACTCAGACTCAAGAAATGGCCACTGTGTAAACCCCAGGCTCTGGAGAGGGGCTGCCTACTCTCCCAGAAGCACCCCCATTCCTCCCCCCTCCCCGCCGGGTACACAAACACACAGAAGCTCCATTGCCAAATACGGCCATTTGAGCCGTGGGTATTTGCTATCAATATTTCATGCCTCAAACAACACTGTCTAACAACACCTATGAAATATGAATGGATTGAGATTTTGACAAGCAAAAAGCCCAGGCATGATACCAGGGTGAGGAGGGGAGCAACACCCAGATTTGAAGGGACCACAGGCACAGCAGCCACAGCCCCAGAGTGAGGGTTTGTGGGATGGCTGTCCTCTGTCCTCTGCATACAGGTCATTAGAGCACTATAGATGCAGGGCTGGGGGTAGAAAGGTGCTTCACTAACTGTTCAGTGGCTCCAGGAAAATGCTGCCTGGAGCTGGCTCAGGACTCTGAGGGTCCCTCCCTGCCAGCTAAGGAGAGGGTTCTGGAGATGGACCAGAGGTCAGAGGGCCAGGGGAGACCCAAGGGCTGAAGACACTGGGCCATCAGCCCTCTCTCCCCTGGCTTTCCTCCCTCCTCCCACGAGCTGCCCCCAGCACCCTGTCCTGACTAGCCTGCATTTCAAAGTCCCCGTGGTCTGGGCCACCTCTCCCCTCCTCCACCTTCCGAGACCTCTTCTTCTGGGAACCTCACCCCAGCTCCTTCCTCCCCAGCCAAGAGTTCACACACTGTCCCCGAGGTCACAACCACTGTCTCCGAGGCCTCAGTTTCTCCGTGAATCAAATGGGGGCTGACATGATTATTTCTGAGGTGTATCCCAGCCCTGACACTCAGCAGGGCATATTCTCTGTCTGCCCAGCAGAAGCCTTAGGAACCAAGGTGTTGTACTCTCTGCAGTGAAAAGGCAGCTAGAGGTGTCATGAGCTAGTCCGAAGGGCTCCTGAGAAGGGTCTGCTGGAATGCAGAAGGGCCAGCAGGTTGGGACTTCACAGCTAATGCTGTGGGGTGAGAGGAGGAGTGAGCAGCTGGAGCCAGGGGAAGGGACACTGGTGTCCTAAGTGCACAGGGGATGTTTACCTGTTTGAGCTTGTCTGGAAAGTCTGGAGGAGACAGGAAGCCAGGCAATGAGTGACAGACTGAGATTGTTTTTAGCAATCATTTGAGCAGCTCACCATGGCTTTAAGTAGAGCTGGAGACTGAGGTCAATGTCCAGCCCAGTTCCACAGTGGGAAATGCACTAGTTAGTACAAGCTCCAAGAAAGGGTTGCAGAATTCTTTAGCACAAGCCAGGTCCCTCCCAAAGTCACCTGTACAAATGAGCAGGACACAGGTGCCAGGGTTCTCCCAGGCTTGCAGGGGACAGCTGACTGCAGTCCACTGGTCAGTGGGGCTACTGAAATGCACCAGCCTGGCCTGGAGGTCCGGGCAAAGCTGAGGCAACATCTTCAGAGCCAGCACTTGTGTTTGGAAGGAGCTGGGGACCCCCCACAAACCATAAAATGATTTATTTGTCTAACCTTACAGTATCCTCTCAGTGGGCATTCACGTCGGGCAGTAGGTGTGCCAGTCGATGGGCATTCAGAGGCCAGTGGCAGCCCCTCAAAACTCGCCATCGGGGCACCTGCCCCCCAGGCCAGTTCTCAACAGGAAAGGTGTCTAGTTGCTTGTCAGAAAAAAGTGCTTCATCTAGATCCCTTCCAAGAAATTGACAGGGTTGATGTTAGTTGCTGATTTCCCCCGCTTACAGAACTGGTGACACATGGGTTTTCTATAATCCTTCACTGATGGATTCGATGGTGGAGCAGATCTCTCAGTTGCCAAGGATGACCTTGAGAAAACGTGGATGTCAGAGGAGGAGAGGAGTAATCTCCCTTCCTCAAACTACTGCCAATAAGCTGCTCAGCACTGAGTCGTTGATGGAAACTTTGCTGCTGTTGCCTCCCAGCTCACAAGGCTGTGGCGTTTGACTGCGTGATAAGAAATTGCCAGGCACTTTCTAATTACAATTATCATCATCGTGGATGTCTCTTTTAATTACTTTCTTATAATTAGCTGTTGCTTTTTCCTCAGCATTTGTGTACTTTGCAGATTTGCTGACATTTGAGAGCCCCAAAATAGGGACATTTGGGGAGGAGGGCAGAAAGGTGGGGGAAACGTGAGAGGAACCTGTTCTTCTCTGGCAACCTGATACATCTCAGGGCCTCTACAAAATGGGGAAAGCAAGAGATGACATGACAGTCCCTCCTGAGCTGATGGGCCAGGGCAGGGGGGTAGGTGTGGTGGGGGGAGTGTGGGTGGGGTCTCTTGTGTTAGACCTTGGGGGAAATGTTTTAGGAAATCCTGCTTCTCAGGATTGGGCTTCAAATGAGGTTGGGGCGAAGCACATTCTTGTTAGATCCATTTTAGAGTTAATTCAGTGACTTAGCCCAGAAGTGACTGGATTTCCCCCCAAATAGTGATGTTTTCTGATCAGCCCTGAGCCCTGGGGGGTCATTATAAAGGGGTTCATGCACCTTAACCAGATTGTTGATCTTCACCATGTTCCTGTTCTTCCTCCCTTTCCCCGGCCCCTGCAGCCCTGTGTACGGAGGAGTGTGTCCATGGCCGCTGCGTCTCCCCGGACACCTGCCACTGTGAACCCGGCTGGGGAGGGCCTGACTGCTCCAGCGGTGAGTCTGAATTCTTTGGGAGTCAGGCAGCCCCTGGCTCTGGCTTGGAAAGGGTCATGCCATGTACATGCTGAACGAATGCTTTGTGTCGGGGGACTGTGTGCATCCAGGCGGAGGCAGACCTGAGCTCAGTACATGGTGGGACTGGGCATGGAGAGGTCTAGGGTTTTGGGGTAATGATCTGTGGTAGTTGGAGTGATAATGTGTGTTACATGTGTTGGGAATTGTGGGGCCATTGACACACTCTGACTTTTCATTTACTGCCTCTCAGTAAGGTGTTTGCGGATTAAGGTGAAACTGAGATGCCACCCAAGGGTGCAGACCCAGAAGGTCACTGTGGTTCAGGCCTGGTTCTTGTCTCTGCTGTTCCAAAGGCTCAGCTCTGTGAGGGCTCTCTGAGGCTCAGAGGTCTGATTCATGAGACAGGTGGGCCCTGAATGTCTCTGTCTCCCCAAATGCAGGAGAATGGTATGTTCATGGGACCAAGGCACTGTATCATATATTTCTCTGCCCACACTCTTCAGAAGACTTCCTGTTAAGCCTGTAGTGAAATGGGTACTCTTGGGACTGACCCAGTGACCCACAACAGCATGGGGTAGCATCTCTGCTGTAGGGCCAGTCACTGAGAAGCTGCTGTACATGTGGCACCTGCTCAAGGGATTCTCTGCCAAGAGCCCAGATGAAGACCAGTCCTTCGCTGGCTCCTTTTCCCTGAATAGTTGTAAATGATGCTTTCCATGGGCATATTTTAAAAATGATTAGTCATGCCATGGTCATTTATTTATTTATTTATTTTTAAAGATTTATTTATTTGTGCATACAGAACTGGGGTACAGGCCAGAGACTCAGGGGTGGCGAAAGACTTCACCAGAGACAGAGCGGGGAGCAGAACAGGCAGATCGATGAAGTACACTGCTGAGGGGAGCAGCGGGCGGGTCAGGAGAGGTCTGCCACGCCATGTGGTCTCCTCCGGGGCAGACGGGAATCGAATTCATGCGGAAGTGGTTTCAGCTTAGTGCGGTGCTTTAACCCGCTGCGCCACCAGGGAGGGGCCGGTCATAGTTTATTTTTAAGGAGTCCGTGATTAGTGTTAAAGCCCGGTTTTCTTCATGCTTTGAACTGGGTTTTTTATTGTGATTAGAGTAGATGACTGGGCTGATCTAACTCCCATTATTTCCCCACGTTTAGGCACCAACTCCAGTCCCATCCTGTTGCAGCTGCAAAGGTTGTGACTACTTAGGGAAGGGGATGTTTGGCCCACATTGGCCAAAGTGGTCCTCTTGGACCTTTTTTTTTCACTCTCACTGCCCACGTGGAAGCATCCCTTTCCCCCAGGGTCTTGGCTCCCTAACTGCCCAGTGCCTGAGAATGTACCAGCCGAAGCAAGGCTACCGGATGTGGTTTTATTTTGTGCCTGGGTGGTTATCTTGGGCCAGGGATTCTAGGATCTGATTGGGAGTGCCTGAGAGACTGACTTCAGTGCCTGAAGACTCCCATGAGCATGGCCTCCTCCTTTTACCTGTTCCCCTGCTGTAAGGTGACTGCACTGAGGAAAAAGGTCAGAGACTCCTCCAGACAGTGAATAGTAACCTGAGGGACGTGTGTATTAGCCTGGTTTCCTGTGGACTTGAACTGGGGAGATGTTGAGGGCTTTTATCTCCCTCATCTGTGTTTTGTTTTATGTAACTCTGCTTACAATGAATCTTTGATGAAGCACTAGCTAAGTTGATTGGGTGAACCCTGCTGGGCCAGGTCTACTTGCTGTTGCCAGATTGTAATGTTGGCGCCTGTTGGAAGCTGAAGTACAGCACGAATCCCAGGGGGCCCTGAGTGCCTATAAATCCCCTGGCAGTGCCAGCCCCCTGCATGGTGTTCTGTGCTGGGGCGGGTGGGGCAAATGGAAGGGTCTTTTAGGGTTGGTCTGTGTTTCTCAAGGTTTCCAGTCTGGTGAAAAAAAATGGGATGAAGACAGCCGTCGGTAAGGGACCTTACAGTTTAAGTCTTGCCCCCAGAGTGAGTTTACCATGCGCTTAGGGAAATAGCCTCGTTACCTTAATTTCACCCCCAATTCTGACAGCAGACGTGGCTCTGATCAGTCTAGCAGTTTCCTCAGTTGAGTCTGTCCCCAGGGGTTGAAGACGACTCAGGCATGTACTGCTTCCTCTGGAAGCCCTGAAAGTTGGGCCTGATGTGGGGCCAGCAGCACTGAATTATGGGAATTCATAGGCTCATTCTCAGAATTGCTCAGATCATTGAATGATTGCCAAGTGCTTTCCAGCCTCTGCTGACATCCTGATGCTCCTGTTGGGAAGTTTTCCCTTCATTCCAGTGCAGCTCGTCCCCAGCTTCTGCTGACTGGCTCTTGCTCATGATCAAGTCCAGGGTGGGGTTAACGATCACCACACCCTCCATCCCATGTTTAGAATTCCTCCCTAGGGGCTCAGTAGACAGGCCTCAGAGTGTGTGTGAACATGGTGGCCTCAAAAGAGTTGATAATAGCTATGGATGCCACATAGAAGAAACCAAGTCTGGACTTCAGGTATTAGGAGATAGCGATCATGTCCCTCCTTGAGTGTTTATTCTCCTATGTTTCTCACATGAGGTAGTCTGAACTGCCTTCCCAGATGGTTTCTTTCATTTCTGGGGCCTTTATCCATCCTAAGCTGTCATTGCTGTATTAGACTACACAACTGCAGGCTTATATGGAAAAATAATAATTGGGATCAGTACTATTTATTGAATTATACTGTGCAGTAGGTAGATACTTTATTGCCTCACTTAATCTTTATAACAATCCTATGGTGTAGGAATTAATACTATCTCCATATAGCAGATGACAAAGTTGAAGCACAGAGAGGTTAAAAGAACTGTGCTGGCCCTCCCTGGTGGCACAAGAGGTTAGGACGCAGCACTGCAAGCTAGCCTCAGCTGCTTCAGTGCATGTTTGATCTCTGGCCCTGGAGGTGACCACATGGCGCGGTAGACCTCTGCTGACCCGGCAGACCTCTCCTGTCTAGCCTGCTGCTTCCCTCAGCAGTATGCTTCATCAGTCAGCCTGTTCTGCTCTCCACTATCTCTGGTGAATCCTCTCACCACCCCTGGACCTGTGGCATGTACCCCAGTTCTGTATGCGTAAATCTTAAAAAAAAAAAAAAAAAAACTCTGCTAGTCAACACACAGTAGTTACTAAATGGTGGAACTGAGACTGCCACTGAAAACCTGCATTCTAAACATGCACTCTTGTTATATGCTTTGCTGTTTCCTGGATGCTTACCCTGTTAATTCAGCCTAAAGTTGAAACAGGTCTTTTGATGAGAAAACATAGTTGATCACAGAGGAAGGAAGGATCTGCTTGAAAGATGTGGTCCTGAGAGATTGTTGTAGAATTAGGTGAATTAACCTTGGAACACAAATGGTGACTAGGTTTACTCCAAGATGCTTGAGCCTGCTTGTTACTGTGCTACTGGATGAGGATGCCTGTCTGTCTGTTCGTGCTCTGTGGGGTGTTAAGGCCTTTGGGGGACCAATATCCATAGGGATGGCTGTCCCAGTTGGTGCAGTGTGTACTCTGGAGATTTCTGAAAGGATCTGTCTATATACACATACATATGCATACGTATATACATATATATGTGTGTGTGTGTATATATGTTGTGTTCAAAAGAAAATTCAAACTGCCTCAAAAATATAGGCCAAAAGGTGAACTCCATGTAGCCAGGGTAACCATTTCTGGCATTTGCTCAACTTCCCTGTTACTTCTCTACACATTTGTTCTTAGAGTTAGAGCTGATGAAACTTTTATTACTTCATTTAAATGTATGTACTAGTCTGTAACTTGTGTTTTAGATTCAATATTATGTCCTGCCTTCTTTCTTTGTCAATAAACATGAATATCCCTTTAAAATTTTAATGACCTTCTAGAATTTCATTCTATGGGTTACCCAGATTATTTAACCAGCTTCTTATTCATGTAGGGCTTTTAGGTTGTTCCTGATTTTTCACTATTCTAGACCCACCATTTTTTATTCAAAATTCTTAGGGCCTGTTGGTTTCAGAATTTAGATACTTTTCAGAGTTTAGAAAGGTGTATAGTAGCTGAACTGGGCTATACCCTCAGATGAAACAGTGATATTTCTAATGTGAATATGACTGTATATCTCTACTTACATTAAGACAATAGATAATCACAGATTAGTTCTGTGAAGATTTTGCTTCTAAACGAATTCTGGCTCTGAACTTTCAAAAAATTTTCTTTTGGATGTCTCAGGGTTTTTTTTGCATGGTTGAGCTGATGGATAAGGAGCTGTGGCCCTATATTAAAAAGCTACAGCGATTCTTCTTGTGGATACATCTTTACCCACGTGTCCCAATTTTTTCTCGGGATAAATTCCTGGAAGTGGCAAGGAGGGTTATAAAGATCCATCACTGTACTGTCTGGCCCTGCCCTGCCCTGCCCTTTGTGGCTGCCACAGGATTTATGACTTTGACAGACACAAAGAGGACGGACCCAGTTCTGTGGTGGGGGTGGGGAACTTTTCTTTCTTCAGCAGACTTATAGCCCCATGGCGTAATTTCTTTAGGGCCTGGACTAATTTCTTTCTGCTATAAAGGAAGTGAGGGGATGCTGACTTGCCTGGTGGGTGGACACGTCAGCTATTGTGAATAATTCCAAGATGTTAGACAGACCAATATGGGGAAATGGAGTAGTGCAAGCTTGGTCATAAACCTCCATCCCATATAATAATGAAGAGTAAAAGGATGAAATGTCAGTTTACACTGAATAAAGACGACAGAGTGACTCTTATTAAATTGCACTAATCTCACAAGTGGAGATAAAAAGAAAAAAAAAGTTTTCCTATATTGAATATCTAGCTTTTTAAAGTAATTAGGAATATTAAAGTACTGACAATGATTGAGATAGAAACATTATTCATAACTTTTATTTCCGCACCGGGCAATGGTCCAGTATATTTCATTTATGAGGTTTCAGCTGTAAGAAG